GCTGTGTTCATCCAGCTCTACACCTTGTTAACTAAGTTTAAACTGACTGGTCTCTCCCTTCCATCCATTTAAAAAAAAAATGAAACGGTGCTAGCAGTCCTGCAATCTCCCAGCACTGCCTCTGGAGCGAAAGTGGATTGGAAAATGGTCATCTGAGGCTCCAATAATTCTTCTCTTGCTTCTCTGAGCAGTCTTGGATACATTCTGGCCTATGATTTATTTACTTTCAATGATGCTGAAACCCTTAATATTTCACCCCTTACTATGTTTATCCTATCCAATATTTCAGGCTTCTCTTTAACTAACAATATCTGAATCAGACAATCTGCAGACAAAAATAAAAGTTTTATTAAGAACCATACTCATGTTTTATGCTTCTTTATACACATTTCCTTTTTACTTTCTAACCTAATATGTTCTCCTCTGCCCTTATTTATCTCTTGTTCTTTATATATGGAGAATATTTTTCTTTGAAAGAGTGCCATAGGATTATTAATATCAACCTGAGAGAACAGTTAGGACTTCAGTTTCACATCTAAAAGACAGCATTTCTGGAGTATCAACCTGGATTTTGTGCATAAGCCTGTGGAGTGGGACTTAAATGCTCCATGATTCAGAGGCATAAGCACAACTTATGAGATACATAGCAATTTTGATAAAGCTATTTAAAAGCACCTTTTAGAAAGTTAAGTTAAAATGATGCTAGTAGAGACACTTTTGTTATAATTTACAGTACAGGATGACAATAATGTATTGAAAATCTGGTCCAAATGATATATTTGTGAAACTACCAAATTGTTCGAATGGGTATATGACTAGAAAGGGTTTAGAGGGATATGGGTTAAATGTTGGCATATGGGACTAGGTCAGATTGGAATGTCTGGTTGGCATGGATAAGTTGGACCGAAGGGCCTGTTTCTGTGCTATATGGCTCTCTGACTTGTCATACGTACAGTTTTTTTTTTAAAAAGCCACATTTGGATCTTGGTAAGGAATCTTAATTTGGCCTCAGCACTTACCTAGTTAGATTTAAAAGACTTTGTATTTTTAAAGGTTGGAGCTGTACTTCAAAAGTAGAATAATATGTAATGATGTTTCTCAAAAAAAGGGCATTTATTCCCATTTGTTATAAGCTATGTTATATGACACTGACTGTAGTATATGCGCCCCTTCTGTGGCAATAGTTTGAGATTGAAGTAAACTGTTCAAAATGTTGGTGTCACATTTGACCTTGCTTAGAGCTTTCAATCAATTCTGGAATTTTGCGCATCCAGATTTTAGTTGCTCCACTATTGGCAGATGTGCTTTCAGCTGCTTAGGTCCTTAGCTCTGGAATTCCCTCTCTAAATCTGTCTGCTTCTCTATCCAACAACAACAACTTGTATTTATATAACTCCTTTGATGTAATAAAATGCCCCAAAGGATTTCACAGGGATGTTATAAGGTGAAATTTCACACTGAATCATAAAAGGAGATATTGGATCAGATATTAGGTCAACAAAAAATCTACATTTTAAGAAGCATGTTAAAAAGTGGAAAAGAGGCAGAGAGGTAGAAAGGTTTCAGGTTTGCAACTGCAGACAAGTAGAGCAATATAAATTAGAAAAGCATAAAAATCCAGAATTTGAGGAGGGAAGGAGTGCCTTAGAGCATTGTGGAGCTGGAAGAGGTTGTAGAGGCAAGGAAAAGGGTACAAAAACAGAAGTTGCTGGAAAAGCTCAGCAGGTCTGGCAGCATCTGTGAAGAAAAAAATCAGAGTTAATGTTTTGGATCCAGTGACCCTTCCTTAGACTTGATGGCAGCTGGGAAAATGTTGGTTTATATGCAGAAAATAGGGAGGGGAATGGGGTAGGGAGTAAATGATAGGATAGAGCCTGGAGAGTAGATCAGTTGGATAGACAAAGGAGTTGATAATGATCTGCTAGGAGGGTGAATAGCTGTTAATGTGAACTGCCACTTTAACATACCACCCTGTTCCCTGGCCAACATCTCTGTCTCTGGCTTGCTGTAGTGTTCCAGCGAAGCTCAATGCAAGCTGGAAGAACAACACCTCATTTTCCGCTTGGGACTCTGCAGCCCCTCCGGACTCAATATCAAGTTCAATAATTTTATGGCCTAAACTCTCCCAAGACCCAGCCCCCTACCCCACACACCAGGCCTTGTTATCACATAGCCTGCCATTACACACTACCTAATGTTAATCATTAACAGCTATGCATCCTCCTAGCTGGACCTGAAACATTAACTCTGATTTTTTCTTCACAGGTGCTGCCAAATCTGCTGAGCTTTTCCAGCAGCTTCTGTTTTTCTTCCTGATTTACAGCATCCGCAGTTCTTTCGGTTTTTAAGGAAAAGTGTACAAGGGCATGGAAGAGGTATGAAATAAGGATGAGAATTTTTAAATTAAAGCATTTCTTCTACAGGAGCCAGTGTGAGCACAATGTGATAGGTGAATGGAACTTGGTGCAAGTTAGGGTTAGTGCTTAGAGCTTTGGGCTACCTCAAGTTACAGGGGATACAACATGAGACACTGGCCAGAACTGTATTGGAATAGTCAAAGTAAGAGGAATAAAGGAATATGTGAGATTTCAGCAGCAGATGAACTGAAGCAGAGTGGAATCAGCCAAGTTACATTGACGAAAATAGGCAGTATTGGTGATGGAACAACTTGTGGTCATGAACTTTATTTGTTGTCAAAAATGACAAGGATGCAAACTGTCTGATTCAGCCTTCGGCAGTTGTCAGAGTGGATAGTATCAGTAGTTACAACATGCAATTTGTAGCAGAGATTTTAGGTGAAGGTTCTGTTCCTCCTAATGCTTAAATGGAGAAAATTTCTGCTCCTCCAGTACTAGATGTTAGGCATATGGTCTGAGAACCTAGAGATATTGATGAAAAGGTGATGGTAAGTTACAGCTGGGTTTCTTTGGTGCAAACATGAAAATTGACATCTTTTGTTCTTGATGCTCCTTTAAAAAGGTGCTTAAAACCTAACTCTTCAGCCAAATATTTAATCACCTGCCCAAAGATTTCCTCACATGGCTTTGTGTCAAATTACAGAGTACCGAGGGATGTTTTGCTATGTTAACTGTGCTATTTAAATAAATCCATAATAATTCTCCAATGTTAGTTCAATATAGATGATGCTATTTTGCTGCACAAACACTCACACAGTTTAAGAACACATTGAGTTTTAAAGTATCTTGAGAAATGAGAAATACTTGTGAAAATATTCGCATGTTAGCACTCTATCCAAATACAATAAAAGTTCATTAGCTTTCTTTAATGATTGTCTATTTTGATATTAGCTATCACACTATTATTTATTTCTCATAGTGAGGTTATTCCAAATGGCAGCCATATCATTTTAATTTCAGCAGATACAATCAAGTAATTGATCAGTTTTTAAATTTGACAAATATTGCAAGTATGCATTTGTGAGGAAGAGAAAGGAATGGCAAGTTAAATGAAGGAAGACAAAAGGAGACTAGTTTGAATCATAAAAAAAATTGCTGGTTCCTTTGTTGCACATATGTAAATTCATGTAGCCTGTCAATTTTGGTTATTGAATATTGAGAAAGATATTACAGATTGTCAGATAATCTGACAGTCTTTTTCTGTTATATTTGCACTTATGTATGTAAGTTATGTAAGTTTTATGTATGTATTTGGAGAGGTGAATGTAAATAGTAAGAGATCTGCATCCACCAACTGCAAAGATTATTGTTATCATAACCATGTGACTTGGTTATGCTTATGATGCAAATGTACATTGACCGGATACATGCTCTTGGAAGAGAGGTTCCTAAATGAGGAGAACAGAAATTGTGCAAGATTTTGAAATGTAACAACTTGCTCCAAATTTTAGAAAATAGCATGAACGCCCATATGTTTCCTTCTGTAGACTCAATATTATTTGTGAATGGCACGTAAAATAAGCATTGTTATTATTGCAGAAATTAAGTTTTTTGTTTCATTTCATGCAAAGGCTTTATTTCCTTCAAATGTATAATACAAACAGAAAAACAGCTTAAAATGAAAATTCTTGGATTTTTTTATTGTTATTCATTATGTATTTACAAATCCATGTTATTACTTTTTATATACATTGCACATTTACATGATAGAAAAAGTACAAAACTATATATTTAGATGCATTTAAATCTGTCATGTTCGAAAATATAAAATTGCATCTGCAACATAATACTTTAAGCAAAACGAAAACCCTGAAATATTTGCATTATGTTAAAACATTTAGAGAAACAAACCACTAAAGTCAATCAGATTACATGCGGCCAGAAAGTGATCTGACAGCCACACAGCTGCAGAACATTTCAAGTTGACAAGTTCCAAACGCAGCACATTTGGTCACTTATATGGCACGCTGTAAACAGTATCTGGAGCTTTATTTACATTAATGTGTAACATATTCCAATAAATAAATATACCAGGTATAACATGCAGGTAACGTAACTAAAAATTCATAGTACAAAAGGAAAATGACCAGCCACATTTACAGCTACCATAATGCAATTTACAGGTTGCATGAAGGAGTGTACTTTACAAGCATCATACGTCACAATAAATTAATGATAACACTGCTCTCTTGACGAATATATTTCCAAAACAGGTATAGTTAACCAATTTTATGCATAAATTATAAAACATGACAGTATAAATAAAAATCTACTAAACTTAACTATGTATACTTCTTCAAAATAAATAAGCGTACACTTATTTACAAATAAGTACAGCGACTCCTTTCTCTTCCAAAGGTGAAGGAAATTACCAAATCAGAAATGGAGATTTAGGAAAGGTGTTATTTTCTTGCTCATCTTCTTCATCTTCATCTTCTTCAGTTATGGCTATGGGGGAATATATGGTAGCTGTTGTATGAATAAGGATCACAACAGCGCAGAACCTCAGTGCATGTTTTCAAATCTCTCTGGATAGCCACAATAGTCTCTTACATGGCACAAGAATGTAGATTGCATCATTTGTTATTATGAAGTAATTTTACATAATACCATATTGCAGTGTGTTCTGAAGAATCAATGATCAGGCTTTATGGCAGTTTCCTGGGATGACACAGAAGTGTTCTTGTGTTCTAAATTGACATTGTATTCATCCATTGCATTCCTCAGTGCTAGTGATTGAAACCTATCAACTATTGTAATAGCTTTAAAATACATAACAACTGTGGTGAAGCCTTTGGAAGGTTACTATTGATAAGGACACATCAGCTTCAAAAATAATAGATGCTCCAATCTATCACTATCATGGCTTTATAATCCCTGATGATTTCTTCCTCTCAATGTGGACAGCAATCTCTTCAGGACCCATTGTATGGTTGTTCAAAAAACTTTCACCATTTATTAGCTATAACATTTATTTAGAAATGAATCCCAAACAATTATAACTCATTGCCGCTTTTTTTTAGAAAACCAATTTTAACTACAGTGACAGCAATATACACTCTGATGCCTAGTTATATTTTATGAAATGTTATATCATTTACTTTCACACCATGACCATGAGATCCTCAATTAGACATACTTCCTCAGGGGAAAAAAAAAGCACATGCCATTTCCAAATGAAAAATGTACAATAGTTAAAGAGTTGTGTATAAAACAATATTGTTGTGTTACATCAACCCTGGCAGCATTTAATAAACATGCTGATATCAGAGATGGAAAGAATGGATAATGGTGGGCAATAATCTCAGTGAAATGTAGAGATTGAACACAGATGAATGGGCAGATATACTTTCTCTGTATCGATGAGGAAGGTACCTGTACTATTGCTATCATACATCTCACAAATTCTTGTGTCAAATTTCCTAACTACTCAGTGAAAACTGTAGTTCTTTATTGAAACTGTTGATGGTGGGGAGGGGGAGGAAATAGATGTATCCTGTTATCATCAACATATGGCAAAATCTTAAACATGCTTATCATTAACAAATTTATTGTCTGGCTAAACCTAGCACACAGTGCATATCTTCCTCCACTGTTCCTTTAGAAGCATGAAAGGCATGCATATTCTCAGGTTGGTAGGTACAATTGGCAAGGTTATATTTGGTACAGCAAAATGTTTGGAAAGCTGATAACATAAAACCTGGCATAAACAGTGAATCTTATTGTGGGATAAAATTTACTTACAATTGCACGATCCTGTATGTTTGATCTCCAGGAGGGTGCCAGAGGAACAGGCTGTACTTTTCATTGCACACTCATTGGGGTACGTGGTGTTATCAGTGGCACAGACTGGCTCATCTGAGCGTCCACCCTGACATACATTACAAACAGCGCACCGACCCCTGCCAAGCCGGCTATCCCAGAGACACTTCTTTCCAGGGCTACACTGTATGTCATCACAGGATTTGGCTTCTGAAAAAGAGAAACCCAAAATCATATTTATGAATAGAATGATGCATTCTGTCTTTGACAATACAATCAAATGTTTGGACCAGAAAGTAAATTTAAACTCTTCAATTGCAACGATTTGTATGACAGAATTCAAAACGAAAACCATACTAACCTACAACCCTCACAATATTCATTGTTGAGATTTCAATATGGACCTTGATAAATACACCATGTTTGATAGATTTGTCAATGGAATTTTTTTTTTCCAATTAAGAGCAGGAAACACATTAAAAGAAGACCATCATTGATGCTAGCACCCAGCATTATATTTAAATATCTGTAATTAAAGACCTTCATTTTGTATGTATAACTTTAATTCAATAGTTTTTTAAAAATCGAGAAATGTGTGTTCCAAACTAAACATGAATTAGTTGAACTACCAATAATATTTAAACCAATTAGCAGAGCTGTAACATTTGCTTCTATCATTGAAAGGTCATAGTCCACATGAGCAAACATACACTCCACCTACACACATTGAGACTGCATTTCTAATCTGGTTGATGAAGAATTTGGATTAGGTTGAAGCTATTAGGCAAATGCCCTGCAACAAACAATTTAAGGTTAAAAGCCACAACTGGAACGGTTCAATTCTGAATCTTTCTTCTGTAATGCAATAATCCTGGATATTGGAGTAGGCGAAGCCATACGTATCTGCTAAAGTACTTTTAAATACCACAGCTCCAGATGGGAAATTAAAAGTTAAATGTTCTCTAGTCTTCTACAATTGCAATTATAAGTGTAAAACCATAAAATTAAAATAATCTTGGAAATTTTAAAAAATCCATAATTGACAATTTCATTTCTCGGATTTAAGAAAAGGTTCAAACGACACGATAACAAATTCTGGTGATTAGCAAAGATGATCTTTTCTCTACTTGCTGCTATAGGCGATATCAATGTACTTTTTAGAGCTCAAAATCGAATATCCAAATGTACTTCATTAGGTTTGGTTTGACATTTATCCATTGCATTCCAACTATACGGACAAAAAGAAAACTCATCCCACGCTGTATTTGTACTTGTTTCGTAATGGTTTGCAGTTTACACGTCGTGAGGTCTAGTGTACGTACTTATACATTTCCCTTCGTACGCCACTCCAATGGTTCTGCCCATCAAGCAGGTGGCGCGTCTGATGTGGCAGGCGCTGGCGTACGTGATCCCATCATTGCCGCACAGATATTGCTCGGGGCTCGAAGGTTCAGGGCAGATCCTCGGGTTACACATCACACAGTAGGCGCTGTTTGTCTGATCTACCACACACACAGAGCTGCCTGGACACAAGACATCTCTGCACGATTCTGTAAAACAAAGACAGCAATTAAAAACAAAAGTGAGGTGAGCACTACTGAAAGTAATCTTCTGCAATACAATCGTTTGATTTTATGAGGTTTAAGTTAGTGTTCATAGTAAACACAGATTACTTTTAAATTTGCAATATTTATTTAATAGGCGAGGACTCGGAACAATAAAGAAATGGCGGTGAAATAATCCACTTTCTATACTTCCCCAATTACAGATATTTACTGAGCGCAAGTTAATTTAGGAACAAAATATGGGGGAAATTATTCTGAACACAAATCAATTCAAAGTTAAAATGGGGGCGGTGTGGAGAATCACTCAACAATAGACACTGCAAGTGAGTTGAGCAATCTGTTACTTCGCACTAGGAGAGAATGGAATGCAAGCATCCTTTAAGCGAGCGGCTCGTTCCCTTGCAGAATCGTGTTGTTGAGTATGTACTTGTTGCACACATACTTTTACATTTGCCTTGATATTGGACCTCGAGCTCGGGATGCCCTTTGCACCTCGCCTTCAGCAGGACACATTCATCTTTGTAGGTTTTCCCGTCAGTACCACAAACGGAGCCCTTCCAAGTGACGTTAGAGCAGTCGGGTGCACAGACACATCGAGGTTTATTCTTTTTGTTCATTTTGCACTTTTTACCTGGACCACAATCGACGTTATCACAGGTTTCTATTACAGGGAAAGAAAGACAGAGTTTTCTGGAAATTGCTTCCATGCATCAATATAATGTTCGAAATGTAAAGTTACATGCTCATTCTTACTAACAGAACTGAATAATTTATGACAGAACGTTTTGCATTTTTATGAGCTTTCTGTTTCCAGATGTTTAATGAAAGGTTTGATAAAACAGCGCAGACTCAGTCGCCATCTTAACAAACCGCTCAGAAAGCCATGATAATTGAGTGATTCTTTCTGAAGCAGTTCATTCCAATGAGTCGAGACCGAGAGGGTGGTTAGCCAAGGTAAGCGCGCATTAGAATCATTTCGCGAGCGATCTGTAAACTTTCATAGACCTTGCAGGATCCAATGAAGACGAACACCAACAGTTCCGAATCAGATAGACCGAGTGAAATCTGTACCTTTACAAGGCGTACAACCCGGAGCTCCACCGTTAAAGATAATCCATCGGAAAAGGGTACTGGATGGCACATCATCTTCGGTCCATGCTGTGCCCAACCTTCCACTTTTGCAGCACTCTTCGCGGCTGACCCCGGTCATGTAAAGAACCTGGCATTTGCCGTTCTTGGCTTGCTGGAGCCAGCAGTTCCCAGCTGCAACACACAGTCAGAGCAGTGTCAGTTTCACGGTTCCAGACACAACACGTGCGCTGTGTATTGACGGTACATGAGTGTTTACTTCAAAGTTTTCTGTCTCAGTCTGGGTGAACCGAGGAGCTTGAAACCACCGACATTTCCCCGTCATGGACAGCAACCGGGTTGCCCCTGAAATGTACACCTCTATGCCATTAACTTATGCCTACTTTGAATAGTGACATATTCCACTTGGAAAGTTACTTGGCTCTGCCCCAAAACAGCGCAGGCTGAAGTACTGTAAACGCGTGCAGTGGAACAAAAAAAAGCCCACAGCCTGCCAAAACTCTTCCTTACAACGAAAACGCAGAGCGCAAAATCCGAAATAAATAATTGGTTGGCGGTCTACTTGTCTCAGACTCATGTGAAAACAAGTTTCGGTTGGCAATTCGACAAGCGTCTGTATTTATTCTGTATTTAACTACGGCGTCGGTTATGTATAAAGTGTTAACCGTTGATTTTTCTATCTATTCACACAGTCACTCCGGAATAGAAACATAGTCTATTTTCTGTAGTATTAACTCGTTCCAAAAATGCCTGAACTCTGCTGCCTCTTCTGGATAGTCTAGACTTCTTGTTGATATCGCCTGATATCAATCTAAATATATACTGTATATCGAGTTTTCAGCTACATGGAAGAGACTTTGTTGAGGTAGCAATATAGAACAGGCAAATTTAACAGCACACAGGTCAATTATTTCCATTGGACCAAGTTATCATACTCGCTTCTTAATCCTGCTTCAGTCGCATGGTATTACCGATGTGAGCAACATTTAACAGCTCGATCGGACGTTTACATGTCGATCCATCTGCAACATCAATAAGGCGTTTTGTTTATTTGCAATTCCCCTTTGCTTCTAACTGAATAATGATCGAGTAAACTTTCACTGTCAGGATCCCAGCGCAACTTATTTATGCTCAACTCTTTGCTCACAGATAATGCTAAATTGCACCCTGCTTTAATTCTGTACGGCCACATTCTGGTAAATGTGAATTAAGTACACAAACACGTGTGCGCTATGTAACTTGCTACATCGTATTTTGACCTGAAAAGTTTGGAGTAAAAGTAAACGATAAACCGAATCAGCGTTGGGCTTTTTCAGTATCTTCACCCGAGAAAATAACATGCAGGCACATGACCAAACAAAACATGAAACTAAGAGCCATGTCCACAAATGTATTCAGAAAAGAGGTCTCCAAACTGCTTTAACTTACCCTGCACTCGCTGGTCTCCAATGGTGAGGAAGATAAAAAGTGAAATGGTGAGAGACGCAGTTCTGCTGTTTAGCATCCTTAGCATTGTGGCACGCAATTTCACCGCAGCTAAGTACTGATCTGAGAGCACCAGTCAAGTCCGATCGCTGTGTTGAATGAACGTCAATCTGTGAATGCAGTCACTCTTAAATATTTTGGCTGAAAGGGGTCTTGGCTGGTCTGTTTGGTGGGCGGTCTTCTGATGGCATGGTGATGTGTTTGGCAGGATGGGGGAGGAGGAAGTGATCAAAAAAAAAGTTAAGGTGGACGGAAACTTAATCAGGTGACATTTCACCGCCTCCTCTAAACTTTTCAGCTAAAATCTCCGTCAATTTCACAAAAAAAAACAGCTATATAACATCCGAGAGCGTAGGCATCCGAGTCTGGTTACAGGTCACAGTGTCAATTTCTCTCTGTAACTGACAAGATTGTACAAGTTCATGGAGAAAGATTGCGGGGGCGGGAAGGGGCTGAAGTAAAATATACTGTTCCTAGGTGTATGAAGATTTCAGCTTTATTTTATTCTCCTTTTGGGCCACCTTTATATCTACAGCGCAGTAGGCATTCTAACCTGTTGAGTTTTTCACTAAGCTATACTCCGAAAATAGAAGCCAGACACCATCTGTGGGTCAAAGTAACCGGTCTCAATCTATGCACAAGAAAATATAACAGCAGGCAGAGTAAATGCAGCCCAGCTTTTCTAATCCAATTTCTCTGGTAAAGCGACAACTCCACCTTCAGCTCGCCCATAACCTGTGTACGTAATGTCGATATTTCGTCTCATGTCTATGTCTCGGAGGGTTGATAATACTGAAAAGAGTTTATTGTCATATCTAATCTCCATTAACTCAGCATCAAAAAGCACGTGGGGTGGTTTTTGCATTGCAGTGTTCTCTTGCAGACTCCTACAGTTTGAATTATTACTAGTATTTTAGTTTTATTATTTATATTAATGATTTCTTGCCACCTGAGTATTTAGGGAAATGCATCACTGTATTAAGTGGCTGTAGTGGAAACCAAGGACACTGACACCGTGGGTGTGTTCAGCCAGTAGGTATTGGAAAAGCAGTTAGATTTAATACCCAGATCTGGCAAAGTTACGCGTCTCTGTAACTGGAGCAGACTTCGCATGTCTATGAAATGCCGTAGGCGGTCTCGTATTTTCCATTTGAGATTGTGACATCGAAAGTCGAATTTCAGTGTTGCTCAATGAACTCGCTTTTGGCAGGGAGAAAAAGTACGTAGGCGATCTGTCGCCGCCTATCTCGGGGATTACGTTTCCTTGTTTAATTACCGTTTTGGCGCTGTTACGTTCTGTCCGAAACCTCACCCCAAGAAAAAGATAAAACGCGCGGTCCGACTTTAATTGTATTCAGCCTAATAGCTACAAACAATCAGACAACTTTTTTAGTGTTGATGGGTGCAATGATCTGACTAGAAATAACTCCGCGATAACAGACAGTTTCCACCAGCTGCGGGATAGAGTAGTAATCCTTTAATAAAGACTTATTACAATAGGCTCTTAAGGTCTCTTTTTAATAATCGTCAGAAATGCAATCATTCTAATATTAGAAGAGACAGTTGTTTGGGTGCCTCAGACTGGTGGTAGTAGTTACACTATTTAGCGTTCAAAATACACCTGGCAATGCCATGCCAACGGACAGTAGGAAAACTTTTTACACAAGGCAATTCCACGCAAATTATTTCCGTTTTCAATGCTGCGAAACCGTATTTTCTATCCCAGACTATCCTGGCCTGTTATTCCACAACATGGCAATTGTGGTTTGATACACACGAAAAAAACTAATGCAGCCCCCTAACGATCCAAACAAGGCAATTGCAGCTAAAGTGTGCACCAATCGTGATTTCCAGTTTATCGCACCAAAGCGACCAAAGACTTTCCTTCTTGCCAAATCTAGATTCTGTGTTAGTGGAGTTAGAACAGTGAAATGTCAACGTAACTGTCATCTGGTGAAGGAAGTCTGGGTTTGAGCAGATACTGGTAAAAAACCAAGGTAAACCTAAAACATACCTATATACACCTACCATTCCCAAATCAAACTGAGCAGCAGTAGATAACAACATTAGGTAGACACGAGACATCACATTATGTTATAATTAGTTTTTAAATACAGCAGTGGAAATTACCAATATGAAGTTATTTGTACTGCCATTGTGCCCTGTGTCTCTTGCCAATGTTGTTCACATACTTATGTAAGTATTTGTTTCTGAAATCTCCTTCCAACAGGAACTACACAGATTCTCGTGTTTTTCTTCGTTTTATGTGCGTGTCACTATGGCTATTAGCTGTTCAACGTTTATAATCTAACATCAAATATTTATTACAGATTGAGGACTGACGAACTGGACGATCTCACCCAGTTCTGATACATCTAGCGAATAATACCGACTGCTGAGCAATTTACATCCTCAAAAACAATGAAAGGAAAAACAAGAGTTTTGAAAACAAACATAGAATTGACATTGAATTAAAAAGATGAATATTGGAGGCAAACTGACGGGTGTGAAAAATAATAGAAAACGAGTATTGCACAATATAAATTGTTATCCATAAATGGTAATGAAAATGATAATGAAAAATCAAGGATAAATGCCGCAACGAAGGGAAATATAAAATAACACAGTAAGATAGTTCCTTAATTCATTCACGGGATGAGGGTGTCGCTGGCTACGCAGCATTTATTGCCCATCCCTAACTTCAGTTAAGAGTTAATCACACTGCTGTGGGTTTAGGTCACGCCAGGTAAGGATGGCAGTTTCCTCCCCTGAAGGACATTAGCGAACCAGATGGGTTTTTCCCCGACAATCGATTCCAGGTCGTCATTAGACTCTTAAATCAAGATATTTTTATTGAATCCAAATTCCACCATCTGCTATGAGCGGGTTTCGAGCGCGGCTCCCCAGAACATTATCTGGGTCTCTGGATTAACAGTCTACTAGATAACACCGCTAGGCCATCATCTCCTAGTGAGGGGATAGATAGTGAGGGCGGGAAACAGGAATGTCGAGGGTAGAAATTTATGAGAATGAAAATAAAGGAGACTGAAATGCAATCTCCGCTCAAGTCTACAAGGAAACTAAAGTGAGACCTCTGCAGGACGATAGTTGTATACGCTCATGCACATTTTTGACCCAGTTTCCAGAATCCGACAGGCGCTTGTTGGAAGTTTCACGGATATTAATGAGTTTCATAGTAAACTTGAGCAATTAAGAATCTGCGTCAAAGTGGCTAAAGTTATGGTGACTAACAACAGTTTACTATGGCAATCAAAAACTTTAAGGCAATCCATTACTTCCACTTTGAAAACAGAAACCTTGACAATTTCAGTACAATTAATTAAACAATTAATCTGCAGCTCCGAGGTATTTACAATATTTGGTGCTTTTCACAAGACTATATCATTGTTAATCAATCATTCAGCAATCCGAATGCGAAACGGAATTTGTGTTCTTCTACAATCCAGAATTGTTTCTATACGAGTACCATATTATTTATCAATACATTTGTATTTGAAGCTGACTACGCATATGGATACTTCCTTAGAAACTCTAATATGTCAAGCAGTATAGGCCTAGTTAATGCTTATAATATGCAGAACACTGTATAGTTCATTTTAAGATCTGAACACAATCCATATCCAAATATTCTTTTGCAAAATTAAATGAAACAAATTAGCTTTACTCTACTGTTATGCCTATTGATTGCATGGAAATAAATACTTTACTAACAACAAGGGGTTTTGGCATTTAATTGCTGGATACCATTTAAGGTAGAATTGAAATCAACGGTTTAGGTCGTCTGTCTCTAACAGACAAATGCAAACATTTGTCAGATTTTATTCGAAAAAGCTTTTATACACGCCCAAAGCCATTTTCGAATAGCTTGCTACGTGCTTTGAAAATTCAAATGTTTTCGTAGCTTTACAAACCATCAGGCAAGTCTTTACTAATTTATAACCATAGGGAGACATTTGTTATTAAATCATCCATAAAAATTAGAAAAATATTAAACACCAAACAGTTAATAAATGCAGGAAATAACAAAAAACACAGTAGGTCGATCAGCATCTGTAGAGAGCGCCGTTCTGACTGTGTTTACACTTAACAGGTTCTGACTTCGTAGATTGGTTTTCACAGATATTGACTGACATGAAATGACTAATACTCTTGAGTACCTGGAATCGTTTAGCGATAAAACAAAGTAAATTACGTATCAAATGAACATGTTCATGAAATGGCGCAGGCCATCAAACAATCGTTTTTGACTAATTTGAGTAACCGTTATCACATCTGCAAGTGATGCACTTGTTCGATAGAGGTTGTCAGCAGTCAAAACTAAACTTGGCAATTGAGTAGCACCCCACCATGAGCATTTATTTCAAACAATTCGACAGGAGGATTTGGATTGTTCTGCTCGATGTTATCAGGCAAATTCTCACATGGATCTCAAATAATACCAAACTAACGGGAAACTACATATTCTTTGATCTTATGTTCAACTTCCCTGAACGTGTTACTTTCGGGACCACGAAGTATCTCAAACAATATGTATCATCATAAATATCGTCATAAATGTCAACAAGTTCTATAAAAGTCTTGGTGTTTGGTGCGTGTCAAGAGGACACTTTTACAGTCAATCTGACATACTTTCAATATCTTATTGAAGATTGTTTTAAAAATCAAAAACAAAGAAACGTAATTGCACTAACCGACGCGTGACTGGCAGCTTTAGGTTCAGCATTTTAAAAATAAAAACAGATCCAAGTTGTAATTTATTATATCAAATTCATGAATACAACAATACCATACAAAGGTGCGGTAGAAGGGAAAGGTAAATGTACAGTTTCATTAGTGGATTTTCCTGACCGTTTGATATATCCATTGTTAATAAATAGGGTTGAATGATGACCAGAAATCCAATAAAGATGAAACTCTGCTACTGAATGTAAACATGTTCATATTTATGATATCTTAATCTTTGTATTGTTCTATTTATTACATCAACTATTTCACAACTTGCCTATAATATTGTGATTAATTTAACCATTAAACCTACTTCTGGGACATTAATTCATTTCAATGCCACAGATTTAGCTCTGATAGTTGAGCTACGCTAACTGTATCTTCGAGAGCGCAAAGCCAATTTGTACAATGTCCCGAAGAATGTTATGTCAAAGAATCGGATTGACTGTTTTCCAACTATTAACAGACTCCTGGATATACATATCAAACATATTTCTTTTGTTTTGTAATTAAGATGCTGGACATTATTTTTGATCTCATTCTGATGTGTTACCATTATAGGTCCTGAGGTTGCGACTAGAACTAATCACGCCAAATATTATTTGATAACGCTCTTTATAGGTTTCACTACCTTTAATAGCCACATAAAAAGGAAACTTGCTGTTTTTATTTATCCTTAATGTCTTACTTGGCTTCTGTCTTCAAAATCATCCACCTTAATGAAAGGTTTATTTTAAACAACAATTATTAGTTTAGTGAAGAAACTAGCGAATGGCCCAATTAGGTCACAGAATAAGGGCTGAATCCCTGGCTTCAGCAAATGGACCACTAAGATCAAAGAAAAGTGACAAACCAAATATTCAAAAGTACAGTCAGATTGAAGACAAACACTTTCCAGAAGTCACATTCAACACAAGAAGCTCCAGTTTCAATACAAGTGATCGTCTTCGTGTTTTTGATGGTAGACTTTGGTGTAATAACACATCCAAAGTTACCGGGTATGTAGGCATGCATTGGCAATCGGTTTAGTAGACTGCAACCATTTGAAGAACCGAGAAGGCCTGCATATAAATGATATAAATCGACATCCAGCCACCGTAAAACAACAATCTTTATCATGTGCATTATTGATCCATTTCTGTACAGTACGCAAAGTCACTGGTTCTCACCAATCGTTGAGAAATGAGCAAAATCTTGGAACGTAACTTGTAATTTTCAAATGACCAAAAGAACAATATAGCAATAGAAAAGTTACGGCACAGAGAGAGGTTATTCAGCTCGTTGTGTCTGTTTCAGTGGTATAAGCTAGCTGCCCATTTTATTCTCACTTTTCAGAACCTGGTGCATAGCTTTATAGATTTAGGAGCTTGACTTATGAGTTTTCTCCTCAACCATCACATTGGACAGTGAATACTAGATGCCCATCACCCTCTGGGTGAAAAAGATTTTCTTCTGCACCACTAATCTTCCGACCAACCACCTTAAATTTCTTCCCACCGGTAAATGACGTCTCCTCTATCTAATCCCCTCGTTATTTTATACATTTGTATTATAAAACAAACTTTGTCATTTTCAATGTCTGTAATCTTCCATTAAATTATTATCATTAATGAGTTGGCATTGTAGAAAACAACTTAGTGCTTTGCCTTGTTTTATTTAAATAAATAAAGGGGTTGAGATACATAAGATTACAGATACAGAACTTTTCATGGTCGTACTTGTCCATTACTCAGGTACCCATTCTATATCACTCTTGCAGTGACTCGTTGGTGCAAAATTTGAAACTTTCTTAAATGAGATTCGTACTTTGCTGAAATTTTCATCTTGTTCTCATTAGGACAAATACAAGAATGTCGTATTTTTAATGATCACAGCAATTTATACAACAGAACAAAAAGATGCTGAGTTGTTGTCAAGTTGACTCTGATTGGCTGAGGCATTGCCATGGAGAAAATTACTGAGACCTATCGGCATCCACCTTCCAGGTAGTTCATAAAAGGTGCGAAGCTTGAACATGTTCCTTTCCTTCGTAGAAAACGGGTCCCATTAAATATATGTTGCAAACATAAAAGTCAATTTATGAATTTAGATAAATATTTTACATTGGCTGTTAATGTAGCTATTAGCACATAAAATTATTCAGGAAGAGCAGTCCGATCACAGAATAATGCAATTAAGCAATGCTGCATATGAACTTCAGTGCCAGTGTGATTTAAGATATGGAAGTTTTATATCCCGGCGTTTGCCTGATTGAATCAACCAATATCCTTCTTCTGTTGTTCATACTAGGCAGAGTACAGACCGTGCTTGACCAGCCATACTTGCAAAAGCCAAAACAAAATATTTACTCATAGATATTATTCTGCAATTGAACTGCATTGCCGAACAATCCTGAAGTCCCGAATAGATACACTAACAAGTAAATTAAGATAATCAGTCCAGATCATAACATGGCTTATTTGTATTTGTTAGAAGGAATATCAACACAGGAATCAATTCTCTGGAGACAAAAGAAATGTATTCAAACATGTTGCATTTTCTTTGATTCAACTTGGAGCAGGGAGAAATAGTTCCGTTTCCTTTCTCCATGATAATACCTTGGCCAATCAGAGTTGTCTTGCCAACCAATCAGCAGCCTTCTCTCCTGTAGTTTCATTTGTTTTGACCATTTGAAATTTGGAAATCCTACATTTGTCGTGAAGAGTGCAAAATGAAAGGTTTAAACAACATCTCTTCAACAATGTTATACTTAATTGCAAAATACATCCCCATAAGAAATCATCCCATCCTTACAAAAATACTAGTGTCACAAACCTGATGCAAACTAGAATTTTCAAAACTTCAGGTTGAAGTTTGAATCGTCTGTGAAATGCCAAGTAGAGAAATCAAAAGAAGTGAACTAATGGTACAAGCGATGCAAGGAAAGGCACTTGAACTATGATAAATTATTTGCCATTCAAGATCACTCATAGGTGAAGTATTCTCGCTACTTGAAAGATACATTATGTTGTTGCGAGGTTTTAAAGGGGCTCCCAAGAAAGGTTTTACTGACATGTAGAACTATCACGCCTTTCAAGTACAGGAATAACTTTTTGCGCTGTTTCTTGTGTATTGTGTCATTTTCGTCTTTTCTGGGCCGTAAACACATACTTTGGTTATGGCTCCGATATTCATTTAACCTTTTTATTGATGCAATATTAATATTTACATTCATTGAACCTTTTTATTAATGATATATTCATATTTATTGACCGTGACCTGTTGTCCTCTCCCCGAAGACATTTCTGTCCGTGTTATTGCAATTAGATGATTGATACCTTATTTAGTTGATATGCCAACACCGTTGATAATCCATTGCCATTGATGTACTTTCCCAAATAAACTGTATATTTAGGTTATAAAGTCAAATTCATGCATAACAATGACACAAGAGGATTAAGAAACATAACGGTGATCAACATTTTAAAAAAAAAATTACCAAAATACACCCATTAAAGTGAAGGGTTCCGCTTTCCCACTGTCTTTGCTTCTGCTAATAACCAGGTGAAGATCATGTTAAAGGAGAGGTCGGTCTGCTGGAACGGAGACTTCGTAGTGATTTTCTCAAGGAGCTCAAAGATCTTTCAAGTTTCTTTTTGGCTGTTGTATGGGTATGACGTAATTTCCACTTTCGAAATGCTTTCTGGATGGTTAAAGCAGCCTTGAATTCCTTTCGTATCATTAATGTGGTCGTGATCGTTTCCAAAGTGCTCCGAATGGGGAATACTTTCATTGACATTTTATAAACTTCTCCATTGAGCTTCTTGAGGGGCTCTGACTCCGTTACTTTGCCAACGATTACAGCACTGAGAGCTTCCAGCACATCCAGACAGTGCAGCTTGTTACCATCAGATAATGGTAGGTTGAGAGCCGCAATTTTCACTGCGTTAGGTTTTGGTATTCGTAGAGGAGATTTGAGTTCATTTAGGAAATCCGATAATTGGTCATATGTGATGAATTGTGTAGCCTTCACATCATAATTACTCCAGACCTCGTAAAACATGTCCACGTCTTCATCTGTCACCCCGGCGAGTTCCTGCTCTTGGGCTTCGTGAAAGTTTTCTAAAATGACAGCGACGTACATATTGATTATCACGATATACGCGACCACTATGTACGATGTCATGTAGGTGAATGATACAAACTGACGCTGAACAGGGGAGTTAATCATTACGTGAAGAATCTCATTCCAAGCGGCGGCTGTTGTCAGTCTGAACAGAAGCATCATACTGTTTCCGAAAGTTTCGAAATTTACCATGTCGTTTATTGGTGATTCTCTCGGAAGGTCTCGGAACAAACTCATCCCCAGTATTGAATAAATGAACATGACGAGGCCGAGGAGCAGGCCGATATTGAAAAGAGCCGGGATTGATATCACTAACGTAAAGAGCAACTTCCGAATCCCTTTCAAGGATCTGACCAACCTCAACAACCGTGCCAGTCTTACAATTCGGAACACTCGTAAAATAGTTGGAGAAACCCCTTGCTTTTTGGATGCGGATGAATCTAACAAAATTCCTGAAGGAATAAAAGAGTAAAATTATCAGTACAAAAGTGGGAGTAGTTAAATTCCAAATTATCACGTACTTTTGACTTAAACACTCATTTAAACAATGACTTCGCATCAGCGTTGATACCATTAAAACAAACCAATACAAATAATATGAACAAAAATCTCACTCCAGAATGACACGTGCATATATGCAGACATGATTTGTTTTCTCCTCTCCTGGGACGGTTAAATGGACTATAATGGATGCACATGCTGTAAATTGCATACAGAACCATTACATTTTTTCAACCTTAGCAAAAAAATTCAGTTCTGATGTATTCCCTGCACTTCTAAGATAACCATTCGCATCTAAACCGGTTCAAAATCAACGGACTCTGCCTTTGGGGTAATGTTTTATCAATATTTGAAACATTGATCATTGATAAGTGGAGGAAAAACTAAAAAAAAACATATTTGCAGGCTCCGGATGCGACGTGTCACTGATCTTTTTTAAAGACAAAATGAAATACTGCCGATGTTGAAAATATAAAATAAAGACTGACAATAAGCCTAATTAATTATAATTATCACACTAAACTCATCTGCGAATGTAGACCACAATGGAGCATAACGAGTTCGTTGAGATATATATATGAAAGCAAAGAACTGCGGATGTTGGAAATCAAAAACAAAAACAGAAATTGTTGGAAAAACTCAGCAGGCCTCGCAGCATCTGTGGAGAGAGAAGGCAGAGTTAACGTTTCGTGTCTATTGATCCTTCTTCAGAAAGCTGTGTTTTTCCAGCTCCTTCTGATTTTGTTGTTGACGATGAGTTATATGTTCTCCCTCATTTGTGGACAATTCATAATCACACCGTAGTACAATGTGAAATAAAGCGTTTTAGATGCTTTTAGGAATGAGCAATATAATGCTACCAGAGCTGCGGCGCACGCATCCGTAAATAAAGGAGAAAAAACATCTTGCACACGGGAGTTAACTCCAAATTCCGCAGAAAATTAGTAATTGTTTTGTTCCCTTAAGTGTTTTCCTTTAGAGAGACATACAATAAGGGTCAGTCCTAGGACATTGTGTAAAACATGTTAACTGTTTAAAAATGTTATATTGTAACATGACGTATTAACACTAAGCACTTGATAATATAACGAAAATCTAACCTATTTGTAGCTTATTTAATTAAAGATATAACCAGTTTGTTATCAAATTTTCATCTTATTTGTATAAAAAATATCAAAACAAACTTTGTTCATGTCCTAAAAGGATTAATAGATACAGCATTGCTTAAAATTTGTTTTTTTTTTTATAAGGGATTTATGGCATTTTGAAATGGCTAAAATGACAAATAGAGCTTTTACAAATTAGTGGTAGATTGAATAGAATTATATTTCTATTTGAGAGTTTTCTTTAAAGAAATTTCCCAATTGCTTTAATTTAGAACACTTCCAATCTGTAAGTTAATGCTCTTTAACTGCAATTTCAGACAATTTTTAAAAAATGCTGTAGAAATATTTCTGTACTTTTAATAGAGGAACAAACTAAAATGGAAATAAATTGTCAATTGATCAGGAGTGTTTGCAAGATGATCGACCAAAAATGCATTAGAAGATCTGAAACATGAAAAGATTATCAAGTCATAATGTAAGACATTGATATCAATAGAAGCAGTATATGTGCTAAGGGGACTAAAAACAAATATATTCTGTAGATTATGTGGTATTCATCTATTGTTGAGAGTGACTGGTAAGCAGATTTGTTGAGACACTAAAATCATTATAATGGAGCTGAGAAATCAAAGGATACAGGGTATGTTGTAAATAGGTTAATATGATGCCCATGTTCTAAAATAGTGAAAATTTAGGCACAAGCAGCTACAGATCCATTAGTCTTAGTTCATATCTATGGTATATAATGGATTTGATTTTCAGGGGGAAACAAGGATTTTCTGGACTACAATAATCCAGCAAACAGCAGGCAACATGGCTTCAGGTGAGAAAAAAATTTTGTCCGATAAAATTCCCCAATTCTTTTCTAAAGTGACAACCTAAACTGAAAAACGTAAATTAACAGCATACTGAGACATTCTAAGTGTATTAATTAAAATTGTACAGGCAAGATTACCAATTACAGAAAATGTTATACAATCCAATACAATATTGTGAGAATTTTAAACATGCATTTATGTAGCACTGTCTTTCTTTTAGGACATTACACCATATTTTAAGTCAATTAAATAATTTAGAAGTGTAGTTACTTGTGTACTAGAAAAAGTATTGCAGCCAACTTGTGTGCAGCAAGGTCCTGCAAAAAATAAGGAGGAAATGTCTAGGTTACCTGTTTTTGTGATGGTGCTAATTGAGGCAGGAATATTGGCCAGGGAACCTAAGAGAACTCATTTACTGTTCATTGAAAGGTAGGGTAGAAAGTAATTGTTACAAGGATCACACTGGGGTAAAGAAATATTCTGAGGTATGGCAGAGGTCAATAGTAATGGGATCACTACTATTTTCAATTATTCTCTTTGATGTGAGTTTCTAAACTTAATATAAATTTGTTAAATTTGTAGATTATGTCAAACCTGAAGTGGTAGTAACATTAAAATGGTTATTTCTGAGCTTTAAAGTAGTTAGCAATAGCCATCTTGACTCTTAGGTCAATATCCATTCTTGCATCTTTCTCTTCCTGTTTGGAATTATTCCTTAATTTGTACTTTGAGCTAATACATAAATTAATTAGCACTGCTGTATCATTTTATTAGCTACTGAAATGCATTAGATGGATTGTATTGCAGCTTTTGTAACTTGATATTGTTTCTATAAGGCTGCCTCAGAAACAACAGAAAATGGGCAACACAAGGAATGTCTATGTACTACCCACCATACTGCAGCACTTACTCCACCATGTAAGGGTGAATGTACAAGTATATGTGGCATGCATTACGATTGAGACTCCTTGGATAAGCACAAGTTCACTTGACTAGTCTAGACGTGACACTTTCATTCCCCCAGTTCTCCAAAGACAAGGGGAATTCCTAGAGAAGTGCTCACTTTTTGTACCAAACTCAGAATATAGAGTACTTGGAACAATAATGGAACAAAGCTCAATTAAAAATCAAGTAATGAATTAAAAATTCAGTCCAGATTAACTATGAAAAAATAACAATGTACACTAGAAAACAGGAAGAAGAATATAAATAGCCCCTCAAAATGCATCACAAGTAACCACAATAAAAATCAAACAGCTGGGTAGCTGACAAAGTCTGCTGCCTTCCAGATTGTGAAGATATACAGCAATGATTTTATGGTAATGATGTGATACTTCAGAATATTTGGTTAGTAAGTTCTCCCCAAAATGAATAAAATCTCTATTTTGAATGAGACTGCTATGAAAAAGTAACATGAACATTCTCATTCCTCATTGCAGGTGTAGAACATAGGCAAGTAAAAATTGGGTGAAGGTTGATTGGCTTAACGTTTATCATTCTTAACTTGGATTGAATTATTAAGATTCTACTTGTCTCTGTTGATTATAATGACTGATATGGTTATGTTCATCTTAAACAGTTTAATTTCATTCACTAAACAAAACTCTTTGTTATTGTCAAAGTGTTTGTGAATGTTATAATAATAACAGCAGGACCAATGGCATAAGCTTGAGGCATGTGCGCAACATGGCCTCATTTTCAAATTATATTCTATTTTTAACTGATCTACAATTTACAATTGCTATTATGTGGTTTTCAGTAAGTATTTTAGTGTACGTAATGTGGGTATGTGAGAATCAGATATGACCCAAATATGGCTTACCATTGATGATGATATAATTAGACAGTTTCAATTGAATGGTACAGAAAAGGTTCAGTGGTTATAATTCACAACATTAGCTGCATTTAGGGAAAGGCCATTTTTCAGTAACATACTATAGAGGCAGAAGGAGGCATTTATCAACTTCTCATTGCCAGCAGGGCTCTGCCATCAAAAAACATTTATGCAAAATTTATGCAGAGTTGAATATGATTTTTTAAAAGTTTTCATGGCATGTGGATGTTGCTGGCTAAGCCTTCAATTAGTTCTCATAGCTGATTGACCTGGAGAAGGGGGTGGTGAGCTGCCTTCTTGAACTTTTGCAGTCCTTTGTCAATTGGGCTTTTAGGAAGGATTTGATCCAGGATTTTGACTCAGCAACAGTCAAGGAAGGATGATACAGTTCCAAATCAGGATGATGCGTACCTTAGAGGGAAACGTGCTAGTGGTAGTGTTCCCATACATCTAATGCCCTTGTTTTTCCGGGTGGAGAGGGCGCAGGTTTTGAAGGTGATGTTAGATGAGTCACTGCGGAGTGTCTTGTCGATGGTACATACTGCTGCCATTGATACATAAATGTTGAAGGGCAGGAATTTTCAAGTTGATGAATGATTACCAATCAAGCTGACTGTTTTGTCCCAGATAGTGTCAAGGATTTTGCGTATTGCTGGAATTGTACTCATTCAGGCAAGTGGGAAGCATTCTTGACATCTGCCTTCTAGATAGCGGACAGACTTTAGGGAGTCAGGCAAATAGAATTTCATTCTGACTAGTGTGAGATGATACATTTTAGGAGGAATACCAAGGCAATTGTGTGTGCACAATGAATACAAAGATCTTAGAAAGTACTAAGGATCAGAGGGGACTTAGAATAGAATCCCTACAGTGAGGAAACAGGCCCTTCAGCCCAACAAGTCCACACTGACCCTCAGAGCATCCCAACCAGATCCATCCCCCTGTAACCCACCTATACATCTCTGAACAGTACAGGCAATTTTAGCATGGCCAATCCACCTAGGCTGCACATCTTTGGACTGTGGGAGGAAATCGGAGCACCCAGAGGAAACCCATGCAGACATGGGGAGAATGTGCAAACTTCACACAGACAGTCGCCTGAGGGTGGAATCGAACCCAGGTCCCTGGCACTGTGAGGCGGCAGTGCTAACCACTGAGCCACTGAGCCACCGTGCCACCCCTGAACTTGGTGAGCATGTCCATAGATTTCAGAGCCTGAAAGGGTGGTAGAGGGAACCATCACAGTATTTAAGAAATATTTTGAGAAGATAAGTGCTTGAAACAACAGCATATAAAGCTATGTGTCAAGTGCCGTAAAATGGGATTTGAGTAGATAGATTCTTGATAACCGGTGTAGACACAGTGGGCTGAAGGGTCACTCTTCATGCTGGTAAACTATGACGCCATGTTTTCCGACCTTATGATGGATAGAAAGCCATTGATGGCATTGCTGAGGAATTGCTGCAGAGATGTCTTGGAGCTGAGATGACTGATCTCCAAAAGCCACAATCATCTTCCTATGTGCCTGCTATGACTCCAACCAGTAGAGAGTTTCCTCCAATTCCAATTAAATCCAGTTTTGCTAGGGCTACTTGATGCCATTCTCACTCTAAATGCTGCTTTGTTGTTAAGGGCAATCACCCTTTTCTCCCTTTTGGAGTGCAGTGCTTTTGTCCATGTTTCAAGCAAGGCTGCAATGAAGTCAGGACCTGACTGTTCTTGACAGAGTTCATGATGAGCAATAGTGAGCAGATTATTCCTTTCTAAGTGCTGTCTCATAGCATTGTCAACTATCCCATCCATTTACTATGCTGATGATGGAGAGTAGATGGATAAGGAAGTAATTGGTTGGACTGGATAAGTCCTGCTTTTTGCACTGGTCATTTCTGGCAAATTTTCAACATTGTTTGGGAAATGCAAGTGTAACTGTGATAGAACAGCTTGGCCAGGGGCTTGGCTAATTATAAAGCACAAGTTTTCTTTATTATTGCTTGAATGTTGTGATGCCATATTTAAGTCTTTGCAGGCCTTCATCCTTTTTTTAATAGCACATGCGCTAAATCCAATTGGTTGAAGACTGGAATCTGTGATCCTGAAGACCTCAAGATGAATCATCCAGTCAGGATTGCTGGCTGAAGATGCATGCAAATATTTCTGTCTGGGCTTTTACACTGATGTTCTGGGCTCCTCCCCATCATTGCGGATGGGATTATTTGTGAAGCTTTCACTTTCTGTCAGCTGTTACATTGCTCACTATCATTCACAACTAGATGTGGCAGGACTTCAGAGCTTACTGTACATCTATTCTGTTGGTTGTGGGATCACTTACCTCAGTCTATTACAAATGGTTTTCACTCTTTGGCATATAAGTAGCATATTTATGCTTTGGAAATGAATATAATTTAATTTTTTTCCTGAATAAAATTACCTTTGATTTGGAAACATCCTTTATTCTTCATGTATCACAAAGATAACGATTTTCAAAGAAACAACCGTGGCTTGTTACTTGTTCACTTTTTGTACATGGGCTGAGCAAAGACTACAAGGCAGAAAAACTCCAAAAATATTGTGTACACACAGCTCAGCCCAACAATAAATAATACCAGATGTAACTGAGTTGTAGCTTCTCCAGGTTGACACCACATTTTTAAGTACTGTTGCTGCTTCTGGAATGCTCTCAGGCACTCTGCATTGAATCAGGGTTTTATCCTCCAGCTGATGGTAATGACAGTGTTGCAGATATGAAGGCCATGAATTTGCAGATTGTTCAATTTTGATCCAGCCCATAGCACCTTATGCAAGCCCAATATTGAGTTGTTAGATCTATTTGAACTGCTTGAAGTAAATATTTTCCTCTTGTTGGGTCCCTTACTACTTGTCACAGACTCTTTCTGGCTGCTAAGACGTTCAGTCTTCCTGAGCCACATTCGCTGATGGAATTTTAAATCTCATGTACAGAGTACATTCAGTGGCATTCCCTCCTCATTGCTTGATCCAAGTAATGGGATGCTGTTTTGCCATCTGAGGGAATGGGGAAGGTAGGTGGTAATCAGCAAGGGGCTTCCTTATTCATGTTTGACATGGCGCTGTAAGATTTCATGGGATCTTAGTCAATGTTGAGACCCTATGGCAACTTTCTTCAAACTGTATACCATTGTGTTGCCACCTCTGATGGGGCAGCATAGTGTTGGCAGTATCTAGGACCTCTGTGGGTATGACTCTCTGAGTATGTTTTCATCAGGCCATTGCTTGATTAGTCTATAGGTTGGTTCTCTCAATTTTGGCACTAGTTTCCAGATGTTGACAAGAAGAACTTTGCAGAATTATCAGAACTGGGTATGCCATTGTCATTTCTGGTGGCTAGCTTGATGCCACGTGGCCCCTCCAGTGTCATTCCTTTCTGTTTTGTAGCAGTCTAGTGCCACTGAGTGACTTTCATACAACAGCTAAGAGCCAATCACATTGTTGTGGGCCTGGAGTCACATGTAACCCAGGCCAGGTAAGGACGGCAGATTTCCTTCCTCAACAGGCATTAATGACCCAACTAGATTCCTACAACAATTGACAGTGGTTACATGGTCACCATTAGGCCAGCTTTTAATTCCAGATATTATTGAATTCAAATTTCATCTCCTGCCCCTAGTGGAATTCAAATAGTGCCCTCAGAACATTAGACGGGGTTCTGGATTATTATGCCAGTGACATTACTGCTACACAACTGTCTCATCTATTTGCTACCATTTTGATCGATGGGCAGAAAATCAGACTTGCAATGCAATATATTTTGAATATATGCTCCCAATGGACAAGACTCCCGGTGAGAGGCAAATATAAATATGACCTTTGTAGAAATGCGTATTTATGTTTTAGAAATGAACATAATTTAGTTCTTTTCCTGAATAAAATTACCTTTGATTTGGAAACATCCTTTATTCTTCATATAACATAAGGATAATGATTTTTCAAAGAAACAACCATGGCTTATCACTTGTGCATTTTTTTTGTATATGGGCTGAGCAAAGACCATAAGGCAAATAAAACCCCAAAAACTATTGTGTACAGATAGCTCAGCCCAACAATACCATCCGTAACTGAAATAAATGAAAAATATCACTTAACACATTAAGTGATGTTCAATGCAAGATTTCAAAACATACTCTTTCAGTACTGAATGGTAACTAACATTTTATGCAAGAAATCAGCAAATAACTAATAGTATTGAATAAAAACAGAAAATGCTTTTTTGAAGCATTGTATTGGAATTGAAACATTCTCTCTGATCTTCACTCTTCACAAATGCTGTTAGGCCTGTTGAGTTTTTCCAGCGCTTTCTGTTTTTGTTTTAGATTTCAAACATCAGCTTTTATTTGCTTTTATAACAAAGATTGAATACTTTTTCCCTCAATGTTATAAGGAAAATGCAAGTTTTAATCATTTTAAAAGTTATGAAAATAAAGCTTAAAATGAATCTTGGCATATTTAATGTCAATGAATGGGATCTCCATGATTTTAATCTAACTTGTTTCTTGGCTGGTTCACTTGGTGCTGTACCTGAGTATTTCTCCACAAAGCTGTTTTTTTTCCCTCTGTTGAACAATGTCTCCCTAAAAGTGATCTTTATTAAACCAGAAAGGACAAGAGTAAAATGTGACTTACCTACAAGGGAAAGAACGACGACTAGAAAATCAAAGATATTCCAGGCTTGAGTGAAATAGTATTGGCGTTGGCCTAACAGTTTTAAAATTGCTTCAACTGTAAATAGAGCTGCAAATATTACATTGAACCAATTTAAAACTAAGGCGAATCGTTTTGTCTGTCCATAATGATCACATGCCATCACCAGCACATTCAATGTTATTAAGAAAATGGTGAATGGTTCAAACCATCTATGGCTCACTAACTTGTAGAACTTGTAAAGAATCACATTCTAGGGAGGAGAAATGAAGAATTAGGAAAATAAATCATATGAATATCAGCCACATACTTAAAACAATTTTTGGCTCCTAATAATTGCAATTGAATTAAGAATTGACTAATATAAGATCAAGAACATAGAAAAACTCAAACCAAAATGAAACAATGGCACAGCAAGTTAAATTCCATATTTGTTTCTGCTTGTTTTTGTTCTATATTGCGCAGGTAAATACAATGTAATTAATACATTCAGGTATGCAATGACCAAAGTTAGGCCCCTATCTCATTGTCTGCTGATGGCTTATCCTGAACACTTTTCTTGTCAATTTTTGTCAGCAGTGGCTTGTCATTGCCTTCCACTCCCAAGGGGATAGTGACGAGGCAGGTCCCTAAGTATAACAGAACAGAAGACAGAGAAATACGTGTTGGTGTTATTTTGAACCGCTAACCATTGAGCTGACCCCAGAGTATAAAGTGTGCCATTGTGATTTTTAAATGTGACATGCAGTTACACACTGTACGCATCAGCTAATATTAAGAGACAGTGCAGCCACTGTACTGTGGTAAAATCCATTCTTTTACATTTACTTGTGCTGAGTAATTCAGCAATCTGTGAATATTGTAACATGCAAGGAAATAAGTGTTCCACTGCTGGTTGCTACATTTATAGATTCATAGAATCATATAGTACAGAAGAGGCCCTTTGGCCCATAAAGTCTGTATTCCCAAAAATATACTACAATAGTCCCACTTTCCTGCACTAGGCCTATAGACCTCAATGTTATGTCATTCCAAGTGCTTATCCAAGTACTTCTTAAAGCTTATGAGTTTTACCCCCTCACCTACCCTCCCAGACACTGCAGTCCAGACTTCCCCATGCTCTGGGTGAAAATGGTTTTCCTCAAATCCCCTCTAAACCTCCTATCTTTCACCTTAAGATTATGCCCCCTTGTTACAGGCAGAGTCGGGCATGGTGGAGAAGGGGAAGATAGCATTGCGTTTCTCTGACAGGAACCTGGAGGTCATGGTGGACAGGGTGGCTCAGTTGAGAGAGGACTAGAAGAGAAGGCCACACCACCAGACCTTGCCAGCCTGATCCAATATTGCCACCTGGATCATTGTGAACTCCATGATGCAGAGGAATCGCTATTTCTGCAGAAAGAAGGCCAAATGACCTTGAACGGTCTGTTTCCATGCTGTATGACCCTATGACTCCATGACTCTCTGATCTCCTCTTTTGTGCCAGGTGAAGCACCACGCTTCTCTTTGCCACCTCCCACTCACTCTAACTTTGTTACTGCACCCATCTCCAAACGAGGCTCATGTTCTGTCATCACACTATCACCTGCATTAACTTTCCTCAGATGTTCTCATTGCCTCCCAACCACCCACACCGCTAATGCTGCATGGCCTTCACGATATCTCCTCAGTTCCTCAGAACAGATCACCAACTTTTCCCAACACATTCTAACACAAACAGTTTCACTAACCACTATTATCCCTCTCATTCCCTCCTTTTCTGTCATTACAGGTGAAGACAACAGGGCAAAGTGAGTATGGGTAGAGGTGCTGTCCAACATTCGGGTTCTCAATTCCTATGAGGAGAGGGTCCTTGCTTTAACAGGAGAAGACTGGGACTACTCCCGTGGGGATGACAAAACATTTAGATCCATTCATTCCATTGCTGCTTTCCCATTAATCACACTCTCACTCTCAAACATTGCACATCATCATAAACCACTGCCCATGAAGCCTTCTCTCTCTTGTATCTTGCAGGTTCCTATAGCCTCCAGTGACCTTTCTGGAGAAATGGTCAACTCTGCCAGAAGTCACCATCTTGAACTTGAAGGACAAGAGTACTGAGGTCTCAGAGCAAACATCATCTGAGCTACGTCCTGCCACCCCAGCAGCCCAGATACTGCCACCTTTAGGAATCATGGACATAGAGAGTGTGTATACATAATCTGGCCATGGAAAAAATTCCCCAGGCCATTAGCATTCAGAGGTCTGCTGGAAACCAGACACCAGCTCAATGCTCATCAGAAGAGGATACTGTGGTTTCGGCAATCAGGGACTTCATCCAAATCTACAAAAAGGAGCAGCAGTGGCAAATAGGCATCCGGGATGTGATGGCCCTCATTGCCCTGAAGCTGTAGCAGTGCAGTGACTACACAATGGTCTGACTGGTGGCTGCCATGGAGAGCCAGGCCAGCACCCTCAGGGACTGCTGGAGATGCACACAAACATGCACTCCATTTCCCCAGCCTTCAGGCTTGATAATGCGGGTGGGGGCGGGGTGGGAGGGGCGCTGATGTTGGGGAGATGGGGTTGCTGCTGCTGCTAGTGAAGAGCAGTATTTCCTATAATTTTCTTACCTGCTGCATGGGCCTCCAAGGTCAGTACACAGCAGCAATTTCCGGAACCAGAAATTAATGCTGCGATCAGGAAGATCCTCAGAAGGAAAGACCCATTTACTTTGTTCTGACCTTTAATAGCACTACTGTTATCAAGTCCATCACTGGTCAACACTGATCACTAACTAGATCAGCCTAATCACCAATGTAGGCTATAAGTCTCAGGCTGAGGGAATTTGTTCGCTGAGTTGACTGGATGTCTGGTTTATTACGTAGTTTGATGCCAACAGTATATGTTCAATTCCCACACTGCCTGAGATTACCATGAAGGACTCTCCTTCTCAACCTCTCCACTTGCCTGGTGACTCCAGGTTAAACCATCACCAGTTGTCTCTCTCCTGAGAGAACAGCCCTATGGTCTGGTAAGGTTATGGTATCTATAGCTTTATGTTGTTGAAGTAAGTCAAGTTTGTGTACTTTGTAATTAGCATCTCACAAGTACCCTTACCTTGTCCACCAAAGTCTACCATTAAATAACCCAACATGAATATGATGAATTGGTGCAGCTTTGATAATACTCATGAAGCTCAGCACCACCCAGGACAATGTAGACTTATTGATATTGCAGTATGTATTGTCTACAGCAAGTGTTTCCAAACTCCCAGTGAGATCAAAGGACGAGGAATTGGGATCACAAGCTCGTCTTTTGCTGAGTCAGCAATAATTGCTGCAGGGACAAAAAGTAGACCCTATTATTCTTCAGCCTGTGACCTGTACCACCAAGGAGCAAAAGAGCAGCCAGGATTGTTAGAATAACATACCTTCTGAAAGCCTTGTCAAAATGATTGGTTTTAAGAAGAGTTTTAAATGAGTGAATGGAGTTTGAGAGGCTGGGTGGTTTGGGGAGGGAATCACACACTTTGATCAATTTAAGAAAGGTTAATTAAACTGTAATTAAGTATATAGATACTCTGGCATGTGTTGTCTTGTTTTTGGTGAAAAGGGCCATTCTTCTAAAGGAAATATACTAAGGGGAGGATGAGGCAACCGTGGTTGACAAGGGAAGTCAAGGACATCATAAAAGCAAAGGGAAAAAACAGACAATGTGGTGAAGATTAGTGGGAAGCCAGAGGATTGGGAAGCCATGAAAAAACCAGCAAAGCATAACAAAATAAGCAATAAAGGGAGGGAAAATGAAATATGACGGTAAGCTAGAAGGTTGTAAGGTATCTAAAAAGTAAGAGAGAGGCAAGACTGGACATTGGACCACTGGAAAATGAAACTGGAGAAGTAGTAATGTGGAACAAAGTAAAGGCTGAGCAACTGAATAGGTACTTTGTATCAATTTTCACAGTGGACGACACCAGCAGCATACCAGAACTTCAAGAGAGTCAGGAGGCAGAGGTGAGTGTAGTGGCCATCGCTAAGGAGAAGGTGATAGGGAAGCTGAAAAATCTGAAGGTGGATAAATCACATGGATTTGTCTGGAGGAGTTAGCTGAGGAGATTGTAGAGGCTTTGGTAGTGATCTTTCAGGAATCACTGGAGTCAGCGAGGGTCTGAGAGAACTGGAAAATGGCTAAAGTAACACCCCTGTTTAAGAAAAGAGGGAGGCAGAAGACAGGAAATTATAAGCCGGTTAGCCTGATCTCAGTTGTTGGTAAGATTTTAGAGACCATTATTAAGGATAAGATTGCAAAGTAATTGGAAGTGCATGATGACATAGGGCTGAGTCAGCACAGCTTTGTCAAGGAGAGGTCATAGAATCATAAAATGCCTGACAATTCTGCTAGAATTCTTTGAGGAAGTAACGAACAAGTTAGACAAAGGAGAGTCAGTGGATGTGATCTGTTTGGATTTCCAGAAGGCTTTTGGCAAGGTGCTGCACATTTGATTGCTAAATGAGATAAGAGACTATGACATTAGAGGCAAGGAACTGGCATGAATAGACAATTGGCTGACTGGCAGAAAGCAGAAGGTAGGGGTAAAAAGGTCTTTTTTAGGATGGCGGCCGGTGAATAGTGGAGTTCAGCAGGGGGCAGTGTTAGGACCACAACTATTCACATTGTACTTTAACAATCTGGACGAAGGAATTGAGGGAGAGAGATAGTAGGAACTGCAGATGCTGGAGAATCTGACATAACAAGGTGCAGAGCTGGATGAACACAGCAGGCCAAGCAGCATTAGAGGAGCAGGAAAGCTGACGTTTCGGGCCTAGACCCAAGGGATAAGTAGTGTCGAGGAGGTGGAGAGGCTGCAGAAGGGCTTGGACAGGCTAGGAAAGTAGGCGAAGAATTGGCAGCTGGAATACAATGTGGGAAAGTGTGAGGTTATACACTTTGGTAAGAAGTATAGAGAGGTAGACTATTTTTGAACTGGGGAAAGTCTTCAGAGATCTGAAGCACAAAAGGTCTTAGGAGTCCTTGTTCAGGATTCTTTTAAGGTTAACATGCAAATTCAGTTGGTGGTTAGGAAGGCAAATGCGATGCTGGCAGTAATTTTGAGAGGGCTAGAATAAAACAGCAGAGATGTACTGCTGTGGTTGTATAACACTCTGGCCAGACCGCATATGGAATATTGTGAGCAGTTTTGGGCCCTGTATCTAAGGAAGGATGTGTTGGCATTGGGATCCAGAGGAAATTTACAAGAATGATCCTGGG